TACTAGCAAAGTTCAGCGCCTGGACAGGTTCCATTGTCTCTTCGCATTATTTACCCATATTTTTTCTTTCTCCATTTAGGAAATTTTAACCAATTATGACCTTTCCTGAATGATTTGAAACAGTAAATACTCACCGCCCATTTTACACAAAAAACAACAACAAAAATGTTGCCCGCAATACACAGCCGCCATTAAATCTCCCCACTTGGGAGCGCGATGCCTGATGATTCAGCCTGGGTATAGGAGCCTTAGTTTTAGGGCGACTCCATCTTACTTTCTACCTCCATGCGTAGTAGAGGGAGCAAATTGCATGTATTCTTACCGAGTAACGGGTACACGGTTGACTCAGTACCGTTTGTACTCACAAATTCATTTTCGTTACTCGCATCTGTCGTATGATGCGGTTTATTCGAGGTACGAATGATGCGGTTGTTATTCGAATACGTATGATGCGAATACAATGAAGCGATTCTAGTTCGAATGATACATTTGCTAACAATACCGTGTGCCACATTTTCATTATAATTCAATTTTTTGGTTAACTCATCGGAAACTCTGTTTACATTATGTGTTTTAGGAAAAATTGTTTAGTTGTTTGATATTTAGAAAATGATCAATTTGATAGCGGAAGCGTTTTTTGTATTTGCTTTTCACATTTTAGATTTATAGTGCATATGTTTGTAATTTGAAAATTTGATGATTATTGAGTCTTTCTGAGCGTGCCATTGGGAGTTGTTATTGAGTGAATATTTATATACTGCACTTAGATGTTTTAATAAGAATAGTGGTTAATATAAGTCTTTACTTCCTTGTACGAAATAAAAGGAAGAAGTATTGTAATCGAGCAAAATTTTGGGTATCATATTTCAACGGAAATATCCATTTTTGACGATTACAGAATCCATGGGAATTATTTTTTTGGATGACTCTGTACGACAAACACATTTTTTTTCCCCCAAACGGATTGTTAAATGTAATACCCATACTCTAAGCTGATATTTATGACTAATGATTATGACTCTAAGTTGATACTTGAAAGGATTTTTCGTGATGGTGTAAGTTACGTATATATGCAGTTCGCATACTCAAAAACGATAGTTCTAGAACGTTGAAATTTATATGGGCCTGTATAACCATCTAATGTGCACCTCCCTTTTTATTGCAATCGGTAAACTACAAAACGTAAATATTATATTTTAAAGAAAATTTAATAAAGTAAATACATACACCTATATATATATCCTTATAATTAAATGGAAGTACACACACAATATATATATAAATAAAAATAAAGCCAGTAAGCGAAAATAAAAGGCCTTGGTTTATTTTACTTATTTATCACTAAGAAGTTACTTTTTTATTATTTACCAGATAGATAGAAATTTGGTTTGTAGCCTATTCTTCTAAACGACGTTCGTCGCTGCCTCCCCCCACCAATTTTTTTTTTTTTTCGGTTTCGGAATTTGGTACGGGCAATGCACAGTAGAGCTATTGCCTAAGGAAGGGATGCCTTCGTGGAGGAATTTTAAGGAAACTTGCTTATATGCAATTTACACAGGGGAAGCCACGAAAAACCGGTGCAGCAGCCGTTAGCCGGGAATTGAACTCCGGAACGCACTTAGTTTTAGCGACTTTACACTCGAGCGCTGATGGGCTTTCGCTGTTTGCAAAAATAGGTGTTCACTTACGATAAAGCAAGCACCGGTTTTCTTCAATTAAAACAGGTTAGACGATATGACTCTTACTACTTCATTCTCACTTAGCTTTTGATTTCTAATTGTTCATATTTCTTAGACATTGATTAGAATAATGGATTTCAAACATGCAAAAGGTTGTATCTGAATATAATTAGGTTTTTATAACATACGGTCCTTTATTAATTTAAAACAAATAGAAACACACTATCGCGGTTTGAAAGAAGCAAAAATGGACAAATGTATAATGAACATTAATATACAGCTTTTACTAGAATTCACCTTTCGTCTAGGTTCTGATGAAAAGGAATGGAGAGAAGCAGCAAACAATAACAAATACACAAAAAACGAAATCTAATCTTTAATGCCGCCTCCCAGTTTCTTTAGCCCACCAGCGGTCCAGCGGTAACGTTGTTGAACACTGGTAGTTCGGTCTGAGGTTCGAATCCCGCGAACGGCTGGCTGCATGGGTGTTTTCGTGGTTTTCCCCCTGTGTAAATGTGTATCGCCATTTCCCTTAAAGCCTCCACGAAGGCATCCCCCCTTTAGGCAGATAGCCCTAGTGTGCTTTGCCATAATTAAATACAACCAACACCAACCTAGTTTTCTTTATTGTATTTGGGAAAGTTTTTATTGTCATAGTGAAATTTGATATGGATACCGCATAACTTTTTAAATTATGCTTATTTTTGCTGCACTTATTTAAACTTATTTCCCTCGAATTATTCTAACTTAATTAAGCGATACCCGAAGGCAAGTTACAAATGGCATCAAATACTGCAAATTTTGAAATTAAATTTCCCGGTCAATCTCTGTCTACGGAGACTCAAACTTCTTGTATTTTTATTTTTTCATAACGAGTATAAAACTTTGCCAGCTATAAATATAGGAACCAGAAGACAACATTAAAAGTTAGATTTCATAATTTGTCCAAAATTAATTCTTTTTAAAATTTGACATTGACAAAATATGAATATTTTCGTCATTTAAAATACTTCTGTATTTTTGTTGCACCGTATTTAAACTTGCTTCTTCGAGTTATTGACATTAAATTACATTAATTCCGTTATCTATTAGAAAATAATTATAGCAAATCATCTAATTACGACATTTCTAAGAGGTCACATTCTAAGAGATCTGTATTTTTGTGAACATAAACAAACACTAGTAGTGAACATCACCTTTTTAAGACCACACCATGTAAAATCCTCTAAAAAGCATGAATGGTTGCATTTAAAGAGGACCCATTGCTTTTAATAAGGAATGTAACATTAATGTTAATTATACATGTTTTTGGTGTGTGTGTGCCAAAATAGTGATACCGTGGTTCTGTTGCTTTAGAAATGTGTGAAATTAAAAAAATGGATACAATATAACAAAAATGTTGTTATATTTAGATACAACACCTTCTGAACACGCCTGAAATTCATTCTTCTGCTCAGCATAATTCGTCTGCATAAAATAATAAATAGTATTAGAAATCAAAAGCTAAGTGAAGTAGAAACAGTCATCTCTTCTAAACCATTTAATTGAAGTAAACAGACGTTCGTCTTATCGTAAAGTAAACACCTATTTTTCAAACAGCGGATAAAACGGGAAAGAGGGAAATTGGTGGGGGAAGGCAGCGAACGAAATGACACTTTTTGGAGCTCGGATGAAATGAGAAAGGACAAAAGGTACTAAGCCAATAGACAAGGTCTGGTATTTTACTTTATATTTAACTATTCATCATAAATTTAAGAATTATTTTAATTTTTATTTGTCTTTACATTTTTGTTAAATTTTACTTATAAGTATTTTATATTTCAGTTGCTAATTATTATGTTACTTTAATTATTCATTATTTTAATCACTATTTTTTATTATTTTAATAAGTTTTTAATAAATTTTTTATTATTTTAATTACTAATTAATGTTATTATTGTAAATATTTATTTTTTTTATTTTTTATTTTATTTTTTCCTATTTTCCTGACGGCCTTCCGTCGGCGCTTCTGACTTCTGACCTTTGTGACACCACGAAAGGAGGTGAATTATTTCTATTCAAAAATACGACGCAAAACTCCCTATCGCATACGGCCGTATACCGATCCCTAGGTCGGCATCGCTAGAGTCGTATACCGATAAAATAGGTTCAGGATACGAATACCGATCGATTTTACCGATAGTAACGAGTACCGGTTCACCTAGTAACGAATACATACGGGTACACAATTTCTCGTTACTTCTACAGCACTACGCCGTAGTAGTCAAAAGTGGGTGGGTCTTGGCAAGTGAAACTAGTCGTATTTCCGTGACGTCAAAAATTCGAAAAGTGGGGTAGGGTTTGGAAATACGCATACCGGAAGTTGAGTTCACGGTTCCGGTTGAATTATTTGTTGTTTACATCGAAAACACTCTTCGTTCAGTGGACGGAATTTTCACTTGGTGTTTTTTACAGTTTGGCAACACCATAACGATGATTCTCTGCATTGTTTGTGGTGTATCTTGTGCCACGACAAGTATACCTCATATCTCAGTACCAGATGGTTGTTTTATAGAATCTGTCAGCAGATGAAGCTGTGTTAGTAAATTGATATCCGCATATGTGTACGCTTGCACTTGTGTATGCTTTTCATTCTTTTTTTTAGTATCGCAATACTGTCTTCGTTTTTTCAAACCGAAACCTTGAAAACAATCGGTTACGGAAATACACGTTGAGAGTGCAGTCCAAAATTTAACTTATTTTTCATTCTGTTAAGGATGTTATTTGTTTAACAATTTGAAATGCTGCCATCGAAGAAACAAAATGAGTTACTTGCTAGGGTAAATTTTCCTCTGTATGGTGTACGTTCTCTATCTGAACGCCACGTCCTAGTTGCTGGAGGCGGCGGAAATGGAAAAAGTGGGATTTTAAATGTAATTGTGAGTATATTTTGCGTTCTTTCGTGATAAATTGGAAACTATAGTATCTGTTTTGTATCTGATATGTGGTCTAAGCAAATTATTTGAAATATAAGTTGCTTTATATTGCGGCATTTACCGATGTTTTATGCTTGTATTAAAATGCAGAAGAGTATTGTGTTTTGTTAAAAGATTTAGTAGTAGTCATCAAATTATGTTATATTAAACTTAGTACTAAGAAATGTGTTTTTATTTTCTTCATCTAATGACCATATACGATTGCATTGTGTAACAGTATAAAGATATATTTTAAAACAGGGAAATGCTGGGTTTTCGTCTATTGTTTAGGCTATCCATTGATAATACACGGAGTTGAAAATATTGTGTTGAAAGAATTTTGATCTTAACAGTACAAAAGACTGAAAAGTGTTGTTTCACTGTTCAGTGTCATAGTTTAGTATATATTTTATTTCAGATTTGATATTCTGGTGGTTAGCAATGAAATAATTAGCAATTGAGCCATATCTAGCCCCCCTCCCCAATTTTTTTTTTTTTTAATGAATTGTGAAATTCCCTTCCCCAAGTTATATTTTTATATTTTTTCTGAAGAATATTGCCAAAAGCCGATATTACTTCAAGACAGATTTTAAAAATATGTTTTGTCGTTTACATTAATCTTGAAGTAAAATTATCATTTACTTTCCTTATCAGTAGCCTTCATTTTAGGAAACTAAAATATTGCTGGTTGTTTCACTTAGTTCTGCCTTGAAAATGTTTGAAAGGCTTTAGAAGCACTAGTGCACATGTTAACTGCAGTTTTAACACCACTGAAAATTATCGGGTAGAGTAGACTTTAACGTACCCCGTGTATTATGGCGAAGTTGTTGTTTGATTTATTGCCAAGTTGTTTCATTTATGGTAACCTGAGTAGTTAAAAGTTATGGTAACACTATTAGGATGTAATCATTTGCATTATTCCGGGAAATTTTCAATCATGGGATGTTTTGTAAGGGCTTTTGTGGTGGTGTTGGTTAGGAAGTACATTGCTTGTTTCATTGTTTAGATGGTAGAATGGCCGAATGAGTAATTAATTGGAATTTTCTGTACGATTTGGAGCGAAACGGGACAAGCTTTAATTGACTGTGTGTAAATAAGTTTACTTAGTAGCCATTTATAGTGTCCTGGATGTAGGAGGCTATGCGTCTAGTTGAACGTAAAACCATTTAGATGGGTTTTGTAGAAAGAAAAGCTTCAGATGGCGAGCCGATATACGGATTCAGTTCAAATAATTTGGAAGTTTTTCGATGCTGTTAAAATTTGGGTGCTGCAGACTAAGACAAAGGAACTTCTAAATAGGAGATAATGATATTTGCTTTTTGTAGGCTTAATGTATAACATTTTTCTTTTTTATGTTATTTTATTGTTGGTTTAAAAGGTAGTTTATTGAATATGGGTTAACGGTGAGTTTACATTATGGTAGCTTAGCGTTTTTTGGCGACCACTCTCCTACAGCAACCCTATTTTTTTTTCCGTCGCATTTTGTCTTCACGAAGTAAAGACATATTTTTTCTTTTATCTATGACACTTCTTCCAACCTCTACTAGCGAATTACACTTTGCTAGAAATTTTATCTAACAAAACTGCTTAATCATGACCATATTCACAGCAAAATTGGGAAAATACCTACTCCTTACGCGTTTTCAAAATACATAAACATAAACCATGTACACGCCGACTTATTTTTACTTAAAAAAACATCCCAAATTGCACAAAAATGGCATTGCACTCTTCACTATCCATTACACTGCTTTTTTCTCATAATTAGAAAAATTCCACGAAAATACATGACAATTTTCTATCTTTCGGTTAAAAGAACATATATGAATTACATGATCGCGAAAGTATTTACCCTTGCCAAATGAACATTTTCCACATAAAAAAAAAAAAATATCCAAAAACTTTCCTAAACCATCTATTACATTATACACACCAACGAATTCTACCGCAGCATTACAATACTTAGTCTCAAATATTTAAATTTTCCATGCACTTTGCTTCACTTAAATGTTTACGCAATCCGCAAACATAAAACACAAATAACTATCATTTAAAAAATAATTAAATTCAAAAACACTACTTAAAATATAAATGAGCACATACATTAAATTAATAAAATTACCTTACAATTAATTACTTTAACTAAATCATGCTAATAACCATTCCAATACCAAATTCCTTTAACTTCCCTTACATCAGAACAATGCATAAAAATAATATCCTCAAATAAATAAAATACTAACTTACCAATCTTCTTCAATCTTGATTACGTGTCCGATAAAACTTTTCCTTAGACGCCCATGGGGATCCAAAATTCATACACTGTTTCACACAATACAGAATAAACCATACAAAATTTCCAGATTTTTTCCGATTTCCCCCTTTTCCATTAAGAACCGAATTCGTCCATTATATCACATGATATTCCCATGATCTCTCATTCCCTCACACAAAATAATGCGTAATCGGAACTGAGTATGCTCACATATTACCAAAGTCCTGGTAGTAACCGTATCACCTCCAAAAATGTCGCCAACGACCATACATATGAAAGATCAACCATTTAACTTTGGATTTGGTAAACTTGGCGAAATTTGGCGATAACCCTGCTACAGCAACCTTAGTTTTTTGTTTTCACGAAGTACAGGCTTTTTTTTTTTTTTACTCAACATTTTTTTTCCAACAATCTGTTAGCCGAATTATGCTTATGCTAGAACTTTTATGGAATAAAAGTGCTTATCATGACGAAGATTAGGTGCGAAATTGGGAGAAAGTGCAGAATTGCTAATTGCTTGCCGCATTTTTAAGAATTGTACATACACGGTATCCATGTACACGTTGACCTATTTTCACTTAAAAAAACATCCCAGAATTGCACAAAAATGGCATTGCGCACATTGTTGACTTTATCCATGTACACTGCTAAAGTCCTAGGTAGTAAACTTTATCGCCTTACCAAAATGTTGCCAAACTACCTGTTACCATATTCCAAAGATTAGCCAGATTATGCGTTTTTGTTTGTTTGTTTGTTTGTTTGCCTGTATTGTAGAATTGGGTGCTTCTTTGACTTTTTAAGTGAAAGTATATTGATGTGTACATGGTCAAAGTTAAGGGTGTGCGCTATGCCAAGTTTGCACAATTCTCTGATTTTTCTTTAAGTGAAAATATGTTGACATGTACATAAATAAAGGGACTGCAAAATGCCTAGTTTGTGCAATTTTGTGATTTTTTTTAAGTGAAAACAGGTCACTGTGTATATGGATACTGAGCTTGTGTAGTTCTTTGACTTGTTATTTTGTCTTTGTATATGGCGATTATAGCACAAACTCGGTATCCATGTGGTGCCAATTTTTGCCAAGGAGTACCCTTAAATATACTTTTACCTCCGAGTTTTTGGACTTTCTCCATAGTCCCAAGATGTCGAACTATAGTCATTTGCTATAACCCATTTGTTCAACTAATTCTTGAGTGGTTTAACATGCGTCTTCATGCAGAAGTTGATTCAAATGCTCTTTATCAAACTCATTTGGTTATCCAGAATGAGCAGCATCTTCGAGATCGAAATTTCCATTTTTGAATTTGGCATACCAATTTCTTTCAGTTCGTTCAGGCATTGCACCTTCTCCATACACTTCACAAATCTCTCGAGCAGCTTCTGCAGCATTGGTGCCTCGATTAAGCTAAAAAAGAATGTAGGTAACAAAAATGCTTATTGAAAAATAGTAAAAATTAACTCAGACAAAAAAATCAAATACACCATCTCGTAGAGGGAAAGATTCTTTTCGAATAACATAAAACATTATGTCAGTACATTTTATTTTTACCGCATAATTTTAAACACAACATAAACGTCCATTACTTATGTTTCAACCCGATATGTTACCTGGTATGTATTCTTACTTGACATGACCTTAGCCATGTTTGCGCAAACTTTTTAGGTGTCGCATTCGTTAAGGTAAGACAGTTGATTCTGACTGTGAGCAAAGAGTGAACATTAAAGGCCTCATTCAATTGAAACAGCGATGATCGCTCAAACAGCGATCGTTGTATCTAGTATTAGCGATCCCTTTTGAAAACGAGTGATTTTTTCGTATTCATTTGAAACACTTTGTTACCAGTCGAACTCGTAGGGGTTGCCAGAGGTTACTTGATGCGCGATGCTGTTTGTCACGTGGTCAGAAGTTGCATTTGTTTCAAAATAACCAATGAAAGAGTTACCAGATGTGCAGGTTTGACTCCTCGTAACCCATTCTTTAGGGTTGCAGTTCACGTTTGGTGTGCCATCTTTGGCTTTTCAGCACTATTGTTTCAAAGTTTTATCTATGAAAATTCTTCAAAGGTATTATTTTATTTTAATTCCTTTATGAAAACAGCTAACCTAAAAGACACATTCCATTCACTTAAATCATATACATGTGAAAAATATAGGTCAAGTAAGTTTTGCATACTGAAAAAAAGTGATTCAAAGACCTTTTAAAGCAAAAGAAAAGAAAAATGTACCTAGTTCTATTAACAACTCAAAAAATACAATGTAATATATTCTAAAGGAAATTATATAATACACAATGATGTAGATTACATATATTTATAATACATAAAACTCTATAATGACTAATGTTCATAACTATATAATAAACGCCAACACATATCACATAATGTACATACCCTGCTATGAAAGGAAGAATTTTTAATTAGAAACATACCTTTTATATTAATTTGATAACATAGACGAATAAAATATAAAGATGACAAGAAGTTATGAAAACACGTTATGCAACTTAAGAAACAGTAAGAAGCCTTTTAAGTTATTGCAATATCATAAGGCACTAATTAGGAAGTAAATATCATTTTTTCATTCTTTTACATCAGTAATACTTTTTTTCATTAAAAACTTTAGCAGGAAAGCCAAAACAAATTTATTATTGGCACCTCTAATGCAAGGTCACACAAAAATAAACTTGATT